CATATCTTATATTTCCTAATTTATTTTTTCTTTTTTTTAATTATATATCTAACTTTTAATTCTAAATTTCAAATTCCCTTACAATTCTACCTTTATAAGTGAGTTGCAACTTTATTTTTAAAAACCTACCTTCTTGAGTGGCGTGCACTTGCCAAGGTTGTTGTCTTCATTTTGTTGGGTTGTCGTCTAAGTTGTCGTCTTCATTTTGCTGGGTTTATTCTTAAACACATAATATGGGTGTTGACACCATGGGTTAATAGTGCACAGAATCAAACTTTTTGTTTCTTGTTTTGTGTCGACACGTAATTCAGGATGTCAGTACTATACGTTCAGCGTTCAACATTCAAGTTTCTTATTCTGTTTTAAATCCTACTTCTATTCCAATTAGGGTTTCTAAAACCTTATAAATACCCATCCAAATTCAGAATTAAAAGAGCTTGGGAGGTTAGTGGTAGCCCTCTTTTGAGTATTCTTGGAGATCAAGATAAAGATTTAAAAATTTGTTTATAATTTCTAAATCTTTTCAATTTTTACAATTGTAAAAGAGTATAAGAATTTGTTTATAATTTGTACTTTTTTTAATTATGTTTTTATTTATTTGGATATTAACGTATTTTATATTTATATTTTTTACTTAATGTTAAATTTATTTACATTATCTCATATATTTAATAGTGTTAAAAACCGATCAATCCGACCAAATCACACCGGTCCGATTTAAATTGGATTGGTTTGATTATCATATAATAGTGGATTGGATTGGTTTAAAAATTTTACTAACCGATTAAATTAGATTGAATTAAAAAATATTAAAATTCGAACCAAATCACACCACGAACACCCCTATATACATGTATATTTGCCCCGTGAGATAATATTTTATGACAAAATCTGAACCGATGCAAAAAAGCGTTATTTCCCCGAGAATTCTCCATACCTTTCTCTTTTTAATTGTCACCATCAAGCACCTACAAATCGAATTCCACGAGATTATTTAACAAGATATTATGAGACTTTAATATATACTAAATTACTAATAAACACGAAGTGGTTTTTTAAGTTTTTAAGTGGTTAACAAATAAATAGAGATTTTATATTTGAATCAATGAGAGGTTTTTTTATATTAAAAAGTCAATTACTTAATAGTGTAAAGATTTAAATTAATATTTTATTAATTTACAAATTATCAAATTTCAGGGTTTAAATATCTGTGACTATAAAAAAAAATGAGGGATTATGAAAGCAGGTCTCAGGCGAATAATGAGGGATTATGAAAAATGAGAGCTCAATAATTAATCTAATTAAAAAGAAAATTCTGATAGGTGCTATTGAAATTATTTATTTATTTGTTTATTTACTTTAGTCAGTTTTCATTTATTTTAAAAGTAATTTTTTAGGTAATTTGAAAAGTATATTTTTATATTAAGATAATATATTAAAAAATTAAAATTTAAAAATATTTATTTTAGATTGTTAGTAAAGTAGTATGTAAACAGTTAGTTCCTATTTGGATTGATTGATTTGGATGATAGGGGGGGGGGAGAGGGAGTGATGGGCAAGCGCCTCCTTTTCTCTATTTGATTTTCTTCATTAATGAAGAGGCGGGGGTGATGGAGTGATAAAGCATCCTTCGCTCCTCTGTTTTTTATCCTTTTAAATTACAGATATTGTGAGAAATTTGATTTATATATTTAATATTTTTTTAATTTTTTTAAAAGATAAATTTATAAAAATATTTTATTTTAATTATTGTTTTAATTAATAAATTTTAAATATTTTATTTTATTTTATTAAATTATTTAATTAAATAAAAATATTTTCCTTTTCTCTCTTTTATACTTTTATAGTTTTATTTATCCAAATAAGATTAATATCTATCCTTTTCTTCATCTCATTTCTCTTCCCATCACTTCTCCTTTCCTTCTTTCGCTTCCTTTTTTTTTTATTAATTTTTATCTAAACAAACCCTAAAAGAAAAAAGAGAAAAAGAAGTTTCGCGAGACATGAATGAAAGCAGTATTCTTATAATATCAAAATTCCTTAGAATAAAACACAATTTAAAAACTAAATTCTTTTTAGAGAAATTATGAATAAAATGAAAATTCTTGTATTTATTTTATTTAGACTTGCATATAATTAATATATAGGTAGAGAGAACACATAGCTAAAATTTATGTCATTTAATCAAATGTTATAACCTGTTAATAAATATAATCTTTCACAATAAATAGTTATATATATTTATTTAAATTAAATAAATATGATAATATTATAGTTTTAATATTTTGTAAAATTATAAGTTTATAATTATAATATAGCATTAAATGAGTGTAATAAGTCATTATATGAGTCGATTAATACAATATTATATATAGATTCCTAATCGTATGTTTAGGTTAAGGGGAGAAAAGAGAAAAAAAATTTAACCAATCAAATTATAATGTTTTTTAAATATTGTAATTTGATTTGTAAAAAAATCTTCCCCTGATCCTTCCATTCTTTTCAACCAAAATATATTATAAATAAAAAGAGTTAATTATATAATAATATATTAAGTTTATAATACCATATATGTGATATTATAATTATATTATTTTCAAAATGAATATATCCATTTGTTTAATAATTGAATTCCTAAAAAAACTTTAAATTTAAAATTGAATTTATTTCCCTGCTTTCATAATTTATTTGTCAGTATCAAATTTAAAATATCCACCTTTTAAACTACCTTTATTTAAGTTACATTCATTTTAGTAGCATTTTAAAACTACAAAATGTCTAAAACTACAAAGTGGAAACTTAACCGTAACCACAAAGTTCACTCGACGGAATGCTTAGCTCAGCCAGCACCTCTAACAACAAAGCAACCATTATTCCATGGTTTTTTTTTTTAAGTAAATTTATTAATTAAGTACAAAGAATACTTAAAGCCCATTTACATAATTAAGGGAATACAACCACAAATAAAAACTTTAACCAAGTAGCGTTGCAAATAACAATTTACCTCTATTTAGCCAATAACTACATGCAGAAGCCCTTGGATTTAAAATCCAATCGGACATGGAGATCTTGCAGTCTTTCTCTCTATTTTTTATCCATTGATAAGTCTACATTTAAATAGAGTCAAATATTCTTCCAACATCAACTGGACTGTTTTTGAAGACTTTTCCATTGCTAACATTGCAATTAGTCGAGACTACTGCAAACCACACGGACTCCCATCCTCCCTTCATTTTCCCGTCAATCATCAACCCTTCATGCTGATCAAATGCCTCCCACACGCTGTTTTCTATTACAATTTTTACTTCCCACCATCTATAGTAGCATGACCAGACCTGGGAGGAAATTTTACAATACAAAAATAAGTGTTGTTGTCTTCAAAGTATTCATCACACAAAGGACAAATAGTTTCCTAGGTATCTTTTAAAATCCTTCTATTAAGTAAGTTGACCTTAGTTGGTAACCTATTAATATTAAAATCTAATTAATTACTAGACAAAACCACATATTTTGTGAGGACGACCTGATTCCGTATCCTTTCATAGATTCTTTTATGAGGTGTGTTCTCGTTACCAACCAGCCTTGCATATCCTGAGCTTGAAGAATAAGTTCCCGCTGAAATTGGGTTTCCACCTCCACGAATCTTTTTCTCCTTGCAGCAGCATTGTATTCTGTAGAATGTTGTCCAACTGCTTATCTTTGTCTTGTTCCCATGTATAAAACTGTCGCCTCCATTGAAGGTTCCACTTCCATATTCCTTTTTTCCAGCATCCCATTTGGTTCAGCTTATTGTCTTTACCTGTAGAGAGCAAATATAATCTTAGAAATGTGTTAGCCAACTCTCCGGCCTCCCTCCACTTATCCCTCCAAAACCATTATTCTATGTTAAGTTCACCATAATCATTCGTTGGACGAGATGCAATCAGCAGTGATGTCGCGAAGATTGTCGCTGTCTTGGTGCCTCTTTCTGCCGCCGTGCTTGCACTTTCCGCTTTAATACAAATCCAATCCTGGAGGAGAATGGAGTCGAGACTTGAAGAGTCGACGAAGCTCCAACTCCACCACCAGAAGAAACATGGAAAACGGATCCAAGAAATGGTGTTTTCCGAAGAACCAGGAGCTGGATCAAGAATCGGCGGTCAACGTCTGGTAAGTTTTCTACAAGCTGTTCGACAGTCTCAACAAGGATGATCCCCGACCGGTGATACCTCTCGGCCATGGCGATCCATCGTCTTTCCCTTCCTTCAGGACCGCCTCTGCAGCGGTGGATGCGATGACCAATGCCGTACAATCAGCTGAGTATAGTTCTTATGCTCCAACCGTTGGAATTCTTCCAGCTAGGCGGTTGTTTAATCTACTCTATCTGTCTTAAGATATAAGTCGTTTGATTTTTTTTCTTCCGTAACTTTAGACAACTCTATTTATGTTTCAAAGCATGCTCCATGAGATGTTCACAAGTTTAATTTAACTATAATAGGGCCGTTGCGGATTATCTTAATCAAGATCTTCCATACAAGTTATCACCAGATGATGTTTATTTAATATTCGGATGCTTACAAGCAATCGAGATATCACTAGCAGCCCTTGTCCGTCCTGGTGCCAACATTTTGCTTCCTAGACCGGGCTTCCCAATTCCCATACTCCCTTTTTCTATGCTTTATCTTCTGCCTGATCTGCCTCTAAAAGGAATAATATACATTTCATTGATTTGAGAATTTATGTGATTTTGTGTTGGAAAATGCTTTTGTAATGCCCCAAATCCCATATTGGAATGGAACTATGAGTGTGATTGTGTAATTGGTATATAAGTAAGGAGAACAATTAATACTAATAACTTGTTTACCGTTTTAATTAACTGCATGTTAACTTTACTTCAAAGGGTTGTTAGGCTGGTCCTGTCCTGTGCTCTCTAGGCTTGGTCAAAATTAGATTTTTTATTCCACTTTTACTAAAAATTAATGGTAACATATTTCCTGAATGTTAGGTTTCAGAGACAGCAAGAAAGCTTGGTGTTCTAGTGATTCAGATGAGGTTTATGCCCATCTTTCATTTGGAAGCTCACAATATGTACTAATGGGAGTATTTGGATCAATAGTACCTGTTCTACCTGTTCTGACCGTTGGTTCTATGTTGAAAAGATGGATTGTTCCTGGTTGGCGACTTGGGTGAATGGTGACAAATGATACCAATGGAATCCTTAGAGAATCTGGGGTTTGTGTTCTATCTTCTTTCTTTCTGTTTATCTGGTTTGAGATACTTCCTATGTACCATGTAGTATATTCTCTTTAATTACATGGTATGCATGTATATCAAAGATATAATACTGACTATGCACTATCAATGTTATTTGTTGTTATCAGATCGATTAGTCAATTACGACTTACCTGAACGTTTCATCTGATCCACCAACGTTCATCCAGGTTTGTGATTCAAGATAATTTTCTGAGTATATTTACACCGGAGCATTCTAATGTTTTCAAAGGCCAGCAGAACATTCTGGAGTGTAAGGATACTGCAAACCAACATGGAGACTCTCAAATGGTGTCTGCATTATGCAATTAAAGCAGAAAACGGAGACATATATCCCCCAATAGTTAATATGCTACTTTAAAGAAATTACTATCTTGCAACCTGATAGAAAACTTATCCTAAACTCACCTTGCCCACGTTCTATCATGTGAATTTTACTATTGCTTTTGTTGACAGACGAAGTTTCTGTAAATTGTACCAAAAGAATACCAATTTTATTTTATAGATGATCTAGCAAGGACACTGATTTAGCATGAAGTATTGCTTGTATCTTTATTAAAGAAGTCTCTTAATTTCCCTTAGTGATATTGGGTATCCCTAGTTTTCCATGATTTAATCTTGCTCTTTCCTTTTAAAAGAAATCTAAATTTGTTTTATGCACCAGGGAGCAGTTCCCCAAATCATTGAGAATTCAAAGGAGGACTTCTTTGTGAAGATTATAGGTGTGCTAAAGGAGGCTGCAGACATGTGCTATGACAGAATTAAGTAGATACCTTCTTTTAGTTGCCCAACAAAACCTGAGGGATCCATGTTTATAATTGTGAGTGAATCATTTAACTGATTCATATTTTGTGTTAAAGTGACCAAAGTCCTGGTTATCTGCTTCCACTACAGGTAAAACTGAATCTATCAATGTTAGAAGCCATTAAGGATGATCTGGAGTTCTGCCTGAAGCTAGCTAGGGAGGAATCTGTCATTGTCTTACCAGGTAATAATGATCTCTATATAAGTGGAAGTTTTATATTCTAAACAAGATCTATTTAGATTGTAGTTCCTGTATCCTAATCAGGCCCAAAGGGACGACCCCTTCTAAATTCGACATTGATTTATGAGAAACTTACATTCTTAATATGGTTTATCCGCTCAACTTTTAAAAATTAGAAAAAAAATCTTAAAATTATATTATTTTAATAAACTTCTATTGAAAAAAATTAAATATTTGGCAAAGTTTAAAAGCAATTGCTTTAAAAATATTAATCATCTCTCACAAATTTAAAATTTTATTAAAGGAAAATTCAAAAAATTGTCTTTTAAACTAAGTTTGAAATAACTTTTGAAAAAATTTGTGTAACTTCTTAAAATTTTGCTTAAAACCCATTTAAAAGCTAATTTTGTTGTTTTCTTCTAATAATATTTTAAATTCGTGAGAGATAAATAATGTTTTTAAAGCCGGGGCTTCTTAACCTTTGCCAAACACCCTCAATGACTCTTTTTTTGAACTTGGGGGAATTTTTGGAGATGGGGAAGTAGTGCCTGGGTATTGAACCCAGGAGTAACACCCTCAATGACTTATTTATAAAACAAATAAGATAATTTTTAATCTTTTCCCGTAATATCATATTGAAACAATATAATTTTAGGTTTTTTTTTTAAATTTTCAGAGATCAAGCTAAGAAACAGAGTCTCTTTTTGCTATTTGGTCATGAATAAATAAATAATTATTAAAGGGATTGAATGGAATATTCATAATTTTATTTTCTGGAAGTAGGTACCCTTGTTTGTCAGGTAACCCTTTTGTGTAGATTGATGTTTTTGTGTTGTCGCGGCTTCTGCTGTATGGATCAAATTATATCATGCTAAGTTCTTCCTCTAATGCATGTGAGTGCTGAAGCTGATTTACTTTCTAATGCTAATAATGAAAAATCTTGCAGGGCTCGTTGTTGGAATGAAGAACTGGCTCCGTATTACTTTTGCAATCGAGCCTTCTTCCCTCGATGATGGCCTTGTCAGGATAAAGCCTTTTGCAAAAGGTATGCCAAGAATCAATAAGATCAAATCCGAAGTTTTGTGAACAAGCAGTGGTGATCAACTACAGCTTGTTGGATCTCATGCTTGAATCTATCTGTAAAATTAATTATTCGGTAACAAGATCCCTGCTAGAATAGCCGGGAAGGGGGTTGGGAGAGATCAAAACTTTGTGTTGGATCTCAATTTCGCATGGTTTTATGTTCGATAAAGTTCTAGTATGTCGTAAAAAATAAGTAGATTTTGGACCCGTTTGGTATATCGGTTTTGGGACAACGGTTAGTACTTTTGTCTAAACCGTTAAGTATAAGTATTTAGTAAATTTATATATTTCGAAACTATTACAAA